AGACCCCTCTCAAAGATAGTATCCCAACTGTGACTTCCATTGTGAATGGTGAGTACCTCATTCACCATAGCAGACGGCTCCAAGGCAATGCGATACAAAGCAGGAAATCGTATCTTTAGCAGTTGATTACCACACCAACGATCGTCCCAAAATCTGATGTTATTGCCATTTCCCACCTCATATGACAAATTGTCTCGAAAGTCACCCCAACCCCGTCGGATATACCTCCACAGACTCACCCCATAAGATCCGCAACCGTCAATTGAGCACCAGCCCCCCTCCATAATACCATACTTCGCTCCTCTTTAAGAGCTTGTTTGGGTGGAATTAAAATCGGATTAAAATTAAAAAATTAGTCGTTATTGTTGACTTTTATTAGATGAGTGTGACTCAATAACGGCTATATTTTAAGTTTGAGCCTTCTCAGGGCCATTGAGGTGAGTATCCGGCCGTAAACTTCAGGGCCCCATGGGATTAGTTGAAGTGCGTGCAAGCTGGCCCGGACACCCACGATTATCAAAAAAAAAAAAATAACGACTATATTTTCAATTTTAATTGGACTAAAATCCCTCCCAAACAAGCTATAAATTTGACTGGAAGCGGTGACAATTTAATGTGTAATTTGTCTTGGCCTGGATTGTAGCTTTTCATAAAAAATTAGAAGTGGATGTAAACACTTGACTGACTTCAGAGTTGAATATTCCGCAACAATTTTTTTAAGCAGCATTAATCATATTCTACTGGAAATTGAATCACTACTAGAACATATTCACTAGCATTAATTTGAAGCTCTCGCTGATATTAGCTCACTGCATCATTCTGTATCTTCCAAATTAATCCTAAAATCAAGAAGTCTTGGAATAATTTGATGTAATACTAGCTAATTATGGATCTGTTTAGTTAAACAATACACGAGGTCTCGTACCATAACTGTACACGACTGTAGAGAGGCTTTTTGAGTGAGCATTTTTGTAGTCCTAATGCTTTCTCAACGCCTTCAAGCATCGCTTCCGTCACCTTTTCCGCTGCAGCAGTCGGAATACTTTCCTGATAAATGCAAATGACTTGGTATAAATAAAAAATTAAAAGTATCTATCAAGATATTTCATGCACTCTACATAACTCCTTTTTAGCTCCTCTAATTAAGGGAGCTGCAATTGGATAATGGTTAAAGTCCCACCATCCCCCTCCCTTCCAACGTCCAAGGAAAAAAGAAAGAAAGATAAACAAAGACCCAGTAATTTGAGCCCATGATGCTGATATTATTTGGTAACGCTTTTCTGTCAACAGATTAGTGATTCAGATACGGCACACGGCAAGATTCCCATTCCCTTGTTCATCAGATGCAGCCTTCCGGCTCACAGCCCATATCCACGAATAGTATTAACATTATCATTGACAAGGGAAAATAACGTTGTATGAGAACTAAGGTCAATAAACCTTAGCTTATTATTTGGCATAATGAACAAAGTGAACTTTGCTACCAAGATCCATACACTGACTCAATAGAATTTGAGGAAAGATTATCATGTCGATTACATCATTGGAGATTTCTTATCCGTTTACTATTGAGCAAAATACATATTCTTGCATGTTTTTGCTTAGAAATGACAACAGTTCACCAACTTTTAATCAGCCTCTTCTCAAAAGGAACAAGCCTCTGTATTGAGCAAAAAATAATCGCTTAACTGACCTGAGGAACTTTATTCTGCTTCCCAAACGTTGCTGTGCTGAGAAAGGTCCAGCACTCAGGGCCACCGTCTTGGGAACTCAAAAGTTTCTTGGTATTGTTTGCCATCCATGAGAGAGAATCAACTCCTTTAACAAATGCTCCTTCAAAGGGGAATGCAGATTCAGTGGAAGGGACAGGAACAGGATCTTCAAATGCCGCAAGAAGAGCCCATATAGAACTCAAATCCAGTCTCTGTGATATGAGATTAACTTAAGGTTAAGAAAATAGGAACAAAATGCAGATGGTAGTTCTTTAAGGTCAATAGACACTGGATTACATTTCTAGGATTACCTTCATTTGTCTAGCAATTAATGGTAAGCCTGATGAAGCTAGCAAACGATTCGCACATTTTCCTGGTATCAAGTGGTAACACAAGCAGTGAATCATACATTTTCCGTTTCCCAAACTAATTAACTTGTTCATCTGGTGCACCATAAAGAAGTCATGCAATGCAAGATCTGCAACCAACTTATAATAAATTTCCATATTGCTCCGAAGCCTTCAATTTCCAGCCTGATATTACACACACTGTGACAAAATATATAACATGGAGACAAGAAAGACAAAGCCAAGCTTCATCATTTCATGCCCAACTAGAAGCACGACTGGTATCAGAAGAAAGAGAATCTCTAAACCTAGGGAATATAAATGTCACAAAATTAACATCAGGTCATAAATATAGTAATAGTGATGTTGAAATTCGTCAAACAATTCTTGACAATCCGTGAAGTGGAATCAGATTGATAAACTTTCGAAATTTTGAAAGCATACGGTCTCTGGTGATTATGACGTTTCATTTTTTAATATATACAAGGCCACATCTGGGAGCCAAACATAAACAACTGAACCAATTCAACTTGAGAATATCAACCCAGAACCACAAACAGGAAATAAAGATTCGTCTGCACAAAAAGTACCAGAGTTCAGTTTATAAATAGTTCTAACAAGTTCTCCCTTGAATTACAAGGAAACTACAATAAATATTGTCAAATATGTGCTTCCTGATCTATAAATAAACTATAGATGATGTTTGACAGAATTCAGAGAAGGGCTATTTCGACTTCTTGAACAATGATTTCCAGAAATACTCCAAAACTGGTTCCAGAGATCTGAAAGGGTTGAAGCTTTTTTCTGTACAAATTGAATGCAGGCAAATTGAATGACTAAACAACACTGAACAAAAATAATTACCGTTGTGTGCAATAACGATAGCATCAAACTGTCCACAAGGTTCCCCCTTCTCACTCAAGTACCACTTCCCATTATGTGGCTCTAGTGCGCTCACCCAGCAAGGGCGTACCACATCCACCATAGATGTCTGCAACACGGAGAATATCTACTTATATGGTAAACTAAAAATCACCATACATGGATGCTAAATTACTAGGTAGGCCAACAAGCATGTATAAACCTTGTTCGGAGATAAATTGGTACCAACATGCCCAATTTTCAAATGCTCAAATCCATAGTAACAGATTATGCAGCTCGTTTCTGAAATAAAATTTTGAACTGCTAAAACCATCCAAATTTCTAACAAGCTTTAAGACTTTTTAAAACATGGCCTTTTCATAAGCCATGGTATTGACGATGTGATGCAGAGGCTCACAATATTTTTCAAATGCATTGATAAAAAAGTTCAAGGATAACAAAAATAAGAAGAGAGAGAGGTCCCAAACAGGAAAAGAAACTGCAATATTCAAAGATCTCAATGGGTCCAATGAATTAAGGAGCATCCTTCCACAAACAATTCAGTGCACACTACCAATACTCTACAGTACCTATAAAGAAAAATTAAAACTGCCAATTGCATCATAGCAAAATGATTGTCTCCCCTGTAAAAATCAAAAAAAATCTTGGGGCGCTTTCCTGTTAAGGTCACGATCAAATGTCATATGTTAAGAGATAAGCGGATAACTTTTAAGTAGTAGTGGTAACCCTAAAAAAAGAAAATGAAAAAAACACTGAGAGTGTGTGTGGGAAAATGGCCCCTCAGTAGACATAGTGAAAATGCATATGGGACAGGATATTATAAAGGATACTTATATTAAGCTGACAGAAATGTACGAAACAGAGATACGCCACTAACAAAGAATACTACAAACATACGATATGCACCTGAGACAATATGGAATCTGCAAGAGGGCGCATTCCATTAACACCTATATATCTTGGAGGAGAAGTGGGAAGTGGAGCAAACCGTCCGCCAGCTTCAAGCTCCCCAATTGTACCCTTCCATTGACGAACCATACCTTCCCTGGACCAGTCATCAACCATCTCAGCAAACTTATGGTCAGTAACTGTAAAGAACTGAGCCGCGTGGTCAAATATCAAGCCCTCGGGATGAATTTTTCTGGTTCCCATTCTTCCTCCCAACCCACGAAGTCCCTAATGTAGCTAACATAATGAGAAACTCCATAAACTTAATGTCCTACTTTTGCATTGTCTGAAACATCGGATAAAAGGAAAACATACAAAAATATTCACACAAATATTCAAATATAACAGTTTTCTATTTTAACATATTCCCTGTATTTGCAGCCTTCAACGCTACCCTAAAAGAAGGCCCAGGAATAAATTGACTTAAACAAACTGAAATTTGCCAATTAGATGAACACATGCTGAAAACCCAAGGAAGTCGTGGGATATAGTTTCTTATTTAGGGAAAAAATTAAAATATTAAGTGTTAAATATTTTCTTAAATTCTAATCACTAGAGGTATGTCAGATGCTGCTCAAATTCAAATGCTATCCAATCTCTAACATTCATAAAATCAGATAGAGATTCAGATCATCGTTAATCATTTGATATAAATATATTGTAGTCCGAAATAATAGCATCGAAACTCCTAAAATTGCAAATGACAAATCTATAGAGTAAGAAAAATAGGAAAAAAAAACGCATTTTAGATAATGTAAAAAATGAACAACCAACCGTGTCAAAGACAGTGGATTTAATCCCTCTTTTCTCCAAATAAAGAGCACACGCAAGGCCGGACATGCCACCTCCAATAATTCCAACAACCGGGTCATTCGAGACCTGACCGGTGAACACCACCTGCTCTTGGCTAAAGCTTTTCTTGATGGCAGACCTCCTGGAGGTTCCATAAGACGGTTTCTTTCTGGGGTTCCTGGAGGGATTATTCATGGGCAGTTTGCCTTTCTTGTGGGGTTTAGTATTGATTTTGTTATTGTTGTTTGAATTGCTGCTATTATGTGTAACAAAACCATGGATGTAAAATGGAATTGCGGGTTTGGGAGGACGAAGTGGGAAGGAAATGCAGAGCATCGTTTGAGGGGTCTTAATGGAAGAGACGAAGGCCGCCATGAATTGGAGGGAAAAGGAGAGAATGGGAGGATAAAGTGGGACGAGGAGTGGATGTTACTGGAGAATGTTACTTATCATGACTCGTAAGCCTTGGAGCCATATTTTTTTCCATGAAAATGAATTTTTGAACAGGTATTTGATTTCATTTCAATCACATATTCTTTAATAAAATAATATTACATTCAAACTCGAATTTTTTCTTTATTTATTTAACTACACATTCTACGTCACAACACTATTGTAAAATGCATTGTTTTGAAAAGAATGGGCTCAAACAAGCCCTAAATATTTTTTTTTTTATGAATGGAAGTTAGTTAAAATTTAAAAAAAAGGGAAAGTAAGGAAGAAAAACGACATGGATCTCTTTTTTATTTTTCAATTGAAATTTATATAACTCCGAGAAATTGAATAAAATTTAAAAAGAAAGTTACATTCCATCGAATATTTTGTGATTAAAGTATTGCTTTCTTCGAATTTGAAAATCTTGATATTGTTAAAGATACTTTTCTAGAAACAGTACATCAACATGCAGATATGCAATACGAGTATAGAAAGTGTTGGTTCTCAATTGATCGTATAACACAAAATATCAATAATAAATTTCATAAAAAAATAAAGAAATCAAACACAAGAACTAACATGTTCAAATGTTCACAAGTTCTAAACGCTACTCACCCGTTGAACATCTACAAAATCGATTATACTTCAAATCACAAAAATCAAGCAAAGAATCAATCCAGTACAAATTTTAAAGATATCCACAGATTTCTTCAAAGTTCTAATGCCTCACAATTTTCAAGTTTACCATAGTAAATCGCTCACTCAATCTATCAATATACTTAAATACATCACAAATCCACTATAGATTTACGGATAAATAGAGCCTGAATCAGAGAGAATCCTCGAAGACGACTAAAGAAAAATGAAACAGCATACACACTAATCCATGTGAAAGGAGTTTAAGAGTATCTCCAAGAGACTCTTTAAATATAAGATACTTTCTATTTTAAAGAATCAACATTTAAAATCATGTTTCAAGAGATTTTTTGAATTAACATTTTAATTAAGAGAGTGAGTTTGGCTCTCTAAATTTAAAGAGTCAAACTCACTCTCTATAATTAAAGGGTTAAGCCATTCGTACCCGGGTGTTACACCCCGGGTTACCCGACCCCACCGTCCCCCTCACAATGAGGTGGGGCCCGAGGTGAATTAAATAATCGATGGGCCCCCCCTTGTGAAAGGGGCGTGTGGGGTCGGGTAACCCGGGGTGTAAACCCCCGGGTACGAATAGCATGATCCATAATTAAATGCATTCAAAGTGTTTCAATTTTCAATGTAGGAAAACAATAAAATAATCTAAATAAAAACTAGTTAAAATAAAAGATAAACAAAAATAATAAATATTTTTGAGAGTAGTAAAATTAAGTATTAAATATAAGAGCTCCAGGAGACTCTATTTTTAAAGAGTATATTCTATCATTTGGAGAGCGTTTATAAATTTAGAAAGTTAAAATTTTGAAATATTCCAACAAACTCTTTATATTTAACACTTAATTTTACTACTCCCAAAAAATATTTATTATTTTTGTTTATCTTTTATTTTAACTAACTTTTTTAATATTATTTTATTGTTTTTCTACATTAAAAATTGAAACACTTTGAATGCATTTAATTATAGAGAGTGAGTTTGGCTCTCCACATTTGGAGAATTAAACATACTCTCTAAATTAAAATGTTAATTTAAAGAATTTCTTGGAGCATGATTTTAAATGTTGACTCTTTAAAATAGAGAGCATTTTATGTTTAAAGAGTCTATTGGAGATACTCTAAAGAGTTTGTTGGAATACTTCAAAATTTCAACTCTCTAAATTTATATATGCTCTTTAAAAATATAGAGTCTATTGGAGATACTCTAAAACTCCACATTTCACAAAAATGTGTTTTTATCAACAATGGTCAACCGATCAAAGAGTCAGCATTCAATAGATTGATCCAAACACGACTATTTGATCAATCGTACCAAGATTTGAGTGCCTTCCACCCTATACAATAGCTTTTTTGTAGAATTTGCCTCTAAATTTAGTTAATCTTAATAGTAAATAAGCGCGTTTCGAAAGAGAGAACATTTTTAGTTAAAGTTGACTACGAATAACTTACTATTGGGATGAGTTAACAGTGATTAGTAAATGAATCAACAAAATATATGTGCAAATATAAAACGAACAGAACAAGAATCAACAAAGTAAACTGAAAATGGACTCATCTTAATTTCTTGAAGCACCCAAGTCAAGAAAACAGTACAGCTAACTTAGCTTACTGAAGAACAACCACTGATCTAGTGCAAATCACAGCCAAAGTGAGAATACAAGAAGTGGACACTCAGACTAGACCGATTTATTACACAAAATAAGAGATCACTCTTCACAACACACGGTTCACACGAGAACCAACACTCAAACAACGAAATCACTCAAGATTTAAACACTATTTGAGAGAAATCAGAAATCAAATGAGAATATTTAATTTCTACAGCGAAGAAGAAAATACAAGAGAAACGGCGCAGTATAGAGAACAATCGAAGAGTCCAGAAGCCAGAAGAATGAATCTCAAACCCTAGAGACGCCTTTTATGAGTCTCCTAAAGTGTCATTCATCCAACGGTTGTGGTAATTGCACTTGGTGACATCCAGGCCGTCCATTCAAAAGGTAAGTAGAAAACACAACTTCAATTTCACAGAAACACACTTTTCCCTTGCACCGAAAAACCAACAGATTTAATAAGCTGGGCTTCGATTAAATTCCGGCTGGGCCAACAATTTCAACCCATTGGATCATTGCATCATTGTGCCACAATTTCCTTTAATACTCCAACATTGGTATAATAATTCACATTCACTAGTGGTTATTCAAAAAACATCAGATATCATAAGTACACATTAAAGTATCCACTTATCAGCAAGGTACCACATTCAACAAGGTCAAGCAGTCCAGAAATTTGTTTAAAGGCAGTACCTTAGTACCTACATCAGCAGGATTATAGTTAGTAGATACCTTTTCAAGTTTCTCAACACCTTGTGAAATAACATCTCTAATAAAATGAAATCTAGCATCAACATGCTTAGATCTATTGTGCAAAACAGGATTTCTACT